GCATACATACATACATATACATACATATATACACATTCGCACACACACCTCCATGCCACCCACGAGGTCCCTGAGCATTCCTTGGCCTGAGTCGTCGGTGTTGTGGGTCTAGGTCGCTGGGTGACACCACTTGACTCAGCAGCAACTGACTGACCAGCCACAGACTTTGGTGGTGCAGAGCATATTTATCATTGGATGTCAACTGAGAGTGTGGTGTGTATGGGTGTGGTAGAGTGTGAGTTATAACACGGTGTTACAGTAGCCTGAACGTGATACGTGGATGTCCCCTGCGAGTATCCGGGTGTGTTATGGGTGTAGTACTATGTGTCTTTGATGCGTATGTCCTGCACCTGGACGGTCCTATTTGATCAAACAGGGGTGCATCTCATAGGAGTCAAGTCCGCAAACCTTGCTCTTGGGTGCGTTCGTATTGTACAGCACTTGCAACACCACCGAATACCTATAATGCTATATACACCAGACACCCTGTACCGGCATATCACGCCTCTGATGGTCCCACATATTACTATGTATGTAGTAATCGTACTATGTGTGTAGTCAACGCACTATGATTGTGGTAAATGTACTATGTATGTAGTAACATACTATGTGTGTAGTAAATGTACTATGAATGTCGTAAATGTCCTATGTTTGTAGTGAATGTACTATGTGTGTAGTATAAATACGCTATGTATGTAGTAAATAGACCACGTATGCAATATATGAACTATGAGTGTAGTACAAATGTACTGTGTATGTAGTAAATGTGCTATGTATGTAGTAAATGTACTATATGTGTAGTAAATGTACTATGTATGTAATAAATGTACTATGTACATGACTACGTATGTAGATAATTGGATATATTCTCTGCTCTTATAGACATGCGATCCAGTGGTCGTGTATGCCACGGGTGGCAGCAGGCTCTCAGAGTATGTACGACATTTACGACACCATTTACGACGCCATATACAACAGACGCCTTTACATGCCCGGCATGTGTATGGATGTGTACGACATGTACGATATTAAAAGCGACGTCATATACTACATGTACGATATTTACGACACCATATCCGACACCCTACACAACAGACACCACTTACATGGCCTGCGTGCTTATGGATGCTTTCGCGGCTGTCCGAGGGTTGCACCAGCTTGGGTGTGAGGGAGAGTTTGCTTTCAAGTAACCTGGGATTACTGGCACGCCTGTGGGCAGCACTCATACTGGAACGAGATGAACTCGCACCGGAGGAACGCCGTAACGATTGTACCTCAGGCACGCCTTGTGCAGCTAAACGCCAACTGAAATAGAATTAATTAGCATTTAGTGGGGTATTAGTGCGTGGCGCGGCTGTGTGGCGACTAAAATTGAATTAATTGGAACTTAGTTGGGAAATAAATGCATCATACATCCTATATTATACATATGTACCTACATACATAAATACATACATGCATGCATGCATACATACATACAGACATGCATACATACACTCTTACTTACAATATATATATGTATGTATGTATATATATATATATATATATATATATATATATATATATATATATATATATATATATATATATATATATATTATATATATATATATAT